AAAAATTAAAAAAAATAGCAACGGTCAAAAATTAAAATTATAGCCGTTGGGCTGCAATTTTGATTGTTTGGAAGTTTAAAAAATAGCCATTTGGTCCCCAAACTTTATTGTGTTGATGGTATTTATCCGCAAATTCATCTTTAAGATATTTCAACAATTTGTGTTATTTTAAAATTATTAGACGTATTTATGCTTCATGTTGTACTTTCTTATTAATTTATTATGCATGGCAATTTAGTTTTACTATTGTTTTGTTATTTTACTTTTTCGTCAAGCACTTTAATAATTAGATTTCTACATATATATTACACATATATTATTTATATAGCCATGATATGGTTTACAAGAATTTGCCTTAAACAAAAAAAAATTTAAAAAAAGCCCAGAAATAAAAAAGCCTGTTAGGCCCGCTAAGCCCACGAGCCCGGCCCGTTTAGCCGAGGACCATATGGGCTTAGGCCCGTCACGGGCTGGTTCCACCCATTGAGCCCACGAAGACCGGGACCGTGAGGCCCGGGACCGCCAGAGCCCAGGCCCGCTAAGCCCATGCCTGTTAGGCCCGGCCCGTTTGGCCCATTTAGGCCTAGGCCCGGCCCAGAATACAACATTAAGCTTAGGTCCGTCACGGGCTGGTTCCACCCGTTGAGCCCACGAAGCCCGGGATCGTGAGGCCCGGGACCGCCAGAGCCCAGGCCCATTTAGGCCCGGGCCCGGCCCAGAATACAACATTAAGAGTTAGGGCTTTTTGCATAATTGGGATTTAGACCTCGTTTTGCGGTTGGATTTTGGAACTAATTGCATATTCGGGCTCGTGGGTGAATGGGTGATCCAATTTTGGTTCGAACCTTGTATTTTGACCATGCGGGCCCGAGGTCGATTTTTGACTTTTTGGAAAGAATGATAGGAAATCTATAATTAAGCATTGGAATTGGATTGTTTAGCGTTTATTGTTGTTATTAAGTCGATTATGTCTAGATACAATTGATTTGGAGCCAAATTCAAAAGGAAAAGCGGCGTTTGAGGCTTGAGTTGGCCGTGGAAGTTAGAGGGAAGTGTTTGGTCTTACCTTTGCTTGAGGGATTAGGAGTTGTATCCTATTTGCTACATGTTACTTGTCGAGTATGACATATAGGCATGGTGACGAGTATCTAGACGTTGGTGTCAAGCATGACCGTGAGTCTTAAATTGAAATTGTTATGTTCTTAATAAATCCTACGATTGCCTAAGTTGTTGATTCTCTGTGTTGAGCAAGGATTATGATTATTCTCGTGGAAATTACTTATGATTAAGTATGGGTGCTAGTTGAAGTAGTTAGATGTTGGAACAAGTTTGGTTATAGCTGATTTTCCCTTGCCGAGACGTATTTACTTATATTGTCGATACCCTTGTCGGGATAGTATTGTTTCTTTATTGATCCCTTGCTGGGACTCTCGTTGTGATTGGTGTTGAACTGTATATGTGGATTGGGTTGCGCACCACAACAATATATATTTGGATCAAGTTGCACGCCGCAACAATATTATGTTTGGATCGGGTTGCACGCCACAACAATGATATAATTGGACCGGGTTGCACGCCGCAACAATATTATGTTTGGATTAGGTTGCACGCCGCAACAGTGATAAATGATATGGATCGGGTTGCACATCACAACAGTGTTATTACGATTTGGATTGGGTTGCGCGCCGCAACAATAGATAATACGAAGTGCTTATAGATTGGTTACGAGTTCCTTATTGTTTTGCTGTAAATTTTAAATTGTTCTTTACGTTTCCACTTAAATTACTGTTGGTAAATGATATTCTCCCGCAACATGTTCCCCTCCCATCTTTACTTGCTTATTTCTATTTTACTTTCCGTTGTATATTACATAACTGCACAAGTTTATTTGTTAGTCTGGTCCTAGCGTCGTCACTACTCCGTCGGGGTTAGGCCAGGCACTTACCAGCACATGGGGTCGGTTATGCTGATACTATACTCTGCACTGTGTGCAGATTCCGGAGCGGCAACTTTTGGACCATAGCTTTGGGTGGCTGACTTCAGTCCAGTCAGAGATCCCGAGGTAGTCCTGCAGGCGTCCGCAGACCCGACGTTCTCTTCTATCTTTATATTCTGTTTTCATCTACTTCAGAGATAGATTGTGCCTTTCTTTCGAGACATTTGTATGTAGTATTCGTAGAAGGTTCGTGATATTGTGATGCCGGTTCCAGGTAGAGGTGTATGTTGGTATTGTCGTACTTATTTTTGGCTAAGTCATGAGATTACGTCTTCCACATGTTATTTATTTATCGTTAATTTTTTACTGTTGATCGCATGTTCATTTAAATTGTTAAAAAGGGTTAAATAAAAGGTTTAGTGAATCTATAATGCGTGGCTTGCCTAGCTTTCACGAGTAGGTGTCATCACGACTCCCGAGGGTAGAAAATCTAGATCGTGATAAAAATTTGATTGCTCGATTAATTTAAATTACATTGGATAACTCTACTCCTTATTCTATCATGTTGAATTAGCTAACCGGAATTGTTATTTTTTAACCTTAAATACTTAAAGTTAGCACGAAATTGCAATCATTGTGTTACTTACGTTTAGTAGAAAAGACGAGTAAAAGAATAAATTAAATCGATTGTCGTGATGGCAGCTTTATTTATAGTTATTTAGTGCAGCTGTGTGTATTGTGGCCAACAAATTTTTCTTGAGGAATTAGGTTTTGAATAATTACAAAATGCCAGACTTCTTTAGATTGTGTTAAGACATTGTAACTCCAAAAGCAAAGCAACTCCCAGAAAGAAACAAAATTGGAAAAAATGAGTCTACAAAAATAAATATTTTTGGAAAGAGGATGTAGGCCAGAGTAGTGCCCTTTTTATTATTTCTTTTTCCTTCCTTTTTCCCATGGATGTGGGCAAGAGAAGTGCTCAATTTTTTCTCCATTAAGTTCCTATATACTGCACTAATCAACATATCTATTTCTAGATCTGCCTTACATTTCTTTTGTTTCTTGTTATTAAATTTCTCAACAAAAAAAAAAAGGCCTATGGTGCTCCCTTTGAATTCTTTGGCTCCCAAAAGTCAAGTGGCCTTTTGAATATTTTTGCAATTCTCCACTCCTACAAGAAAAGAAGAGAAAAGTAAAAGCAAAGACGACAAATCCCATTTACAAAAAAAATTAAGAAAAAATGAAAAAGCTAGGTTGGGGAAGAAAAAAAACTTATATGGAGTAGTTGCATTACTATGCCATAAGATAGGAGATAGAGTTTTGTCATCTATTATAAATAATGTTATTTTAGTAATATAATTTTTTATTAGAAATCGATAAAATTTAACAAAATCAGTAATAAAATAGACATGAAATTTATGTATGAATTTTTTCTTATTTAATTGTAATTGGTCATAGATAGGAGATCATTTCTTCGACATGTATCACTTTCTTTTATATTTCATCACTTAATCATAATTAATTAAAATATATTTTGCAGGTATTGTTAAATTAAAATACAATAACTATGACTCAGTTCCAAAAATGTTGGGTTCGACTAAATGAATTCTCAATTCTCCATTAGCTCAACTAATGTTAACATCATACAAAATAAAATAAAAGCAAAAAATAAGTTTTATAATAATAATAATAATAATAACAACAATAATAATAGAACTTCTCTGGCAAGTCTAAAATTTATTCCCAACAAGTAGATATATTACCCATACATATAGATCTTTTTCTTTTATTCTTTCCTATTTTTAGCTAAGTTCGCATTGAGTCAAACAATTTATACGTCCTCCTGGACAGTTTACTTCGATGTGATTTTAAGTTAACACCCGTCTTCTTTTAACATCTTCATTCACCATAATTTCATACCTATACCCAATGCATTTGTGTAACAACCCGACCGGTCGTGCATTTGCATTCCGTTCAGCTATTTGAAACCTTGAGCAGCATCGTATGATATATTATGACTTTATGTGAATTGTCGGTTTTAGTTTTTCAGGTTATTCGGAATCGATTTGAAGAATGAATTTCATTGTTGAAGCTTTAAGTTGGAAGAGTTGACCAAGTTTGACTTTTTGTGAATTTGACCCCCGGAGCTGAGTTTTGATGGTTCTGTTAGGTCCGGATGGTAATTTTAGACTCGGGTGTATGCCCGGATTTGCATTTGGATGTTTCAAGAATGTTTCGACACAAATTGGCGAAAGTTGGAAATTTGAAGGTTTGGAAAGTTCATAAGTTTGACTGGAAGTTGACTTTGAGGATATCGGATTCCGATTGTAGTTCTGGGAATTGGAATAGCTTCATTATGTTATTCGGAACTTGTGTGCAAAATTTGGGTTCATTCCGAGTTGATTTGATATGTTTCGGCACGAGTTTTAGAAGTTGAAAGTTGAAAGTTCATTCAAGTTCGAATTGAGGTGCGATTCGTCGTTTCGATGTTGTTATGTGTAATTTGAGGCCTTGAGTAGGTCCGTGTTATGTTATGAGACTTGTTGCTACATTTGGACAGTAGACATGCAATTTTTGACTCTCCCCGAGATTTTACACATTTTTAGCGTTTGAATATTTAGTTAGGTCTAATATCGCTATTTTAACTAGTTCTTCATTTTATCACAAAAATAAAAATTATAAAAATATTTTCTTTTATTTAGCTAATTGATATTTTATCTAGTTACTTTTAGTTTATCTACCTTACATAAAATTCGAAAATACAAAAATAGTTCTACTTTATTTTCAAGAATATTAGTATTTTTGTAGGAATATTATTTTAATTTTACGATGATTTTAATCTAATTCAATTTTTATTTTTTTAGTACGATATTTGAAAAATACCAAAAATAGGTTGTTTTAACAGTTAGTTTTATTTTAATAGTTATTTTTACTTAAGTAGGATTAATTAGTATATGTGGATAGTATTTTTAGTCTTGTTCAATGAGAAAAAATCAAATTTGGGCTAAAACGATCTATTTTTAGGCCCATTTTTGGAATTAAGCCCTTAACCCATACNCTATCATCTCTCATTCTCGAAAGATCACTGCCGCATGCCATCAAAAGAAAACACGAATTAGGTTTAGTTAAATGCAGTGCTCATGAACCGGCAATTTCAACTATCCACCCTACTTCACGTAATTCACTCCTTCCCTTATTTCCATGTCTCCATATGTGTACTTCCCTATATTTGAAGACTTCTAGTCAAAACATATGATAAAACACGTTTTTAGAGTGAATTGAGGATAGAGAGGTCACGAACAGTGAGGTGGGAGGAATCTATGGCTTTGGGCAAAATTTAAAAGAATAGAGGCGAGGCTTGAGGGATCTATTTTTGGCAGATCTTCACCTTTTCTTGGAAACTCGAAAAACACACAACAAAATAATACATATTTCTGCTTCTTCACTTTTCAATTCTAGATTTTTATTCAAGAATGGACTCTGGTTAAAATGTGGGTCTGAGTCCGTGTTTGGTTGAGTTTTCTGGCGCCGATTCGAGACTCCGTCCGGTTTTCAGCTTTTTGGTGCCGATTCCAGTTCTGTGCGCTGTTCGTTACATTTTTGAGTTTAAAGCAGTGAGACAATTAATTTCCAGCTAAATTAAGGTTCATTTCTTACTCCTCTCTTCAATTATGTGTGCCTTTACAATTGTTTTGATGAATAGAAACCATCTGATGCATATGTGTTTGACATTACACGTACATTTGTTTGTTTGGAATTCTTATTGTTTCCCAGTGCACTTTGATTAGTTTTAAGGATTATTGCTGAATCATTAGACTATTAGTAAGCTTAATTAAGAGAAAGACTAGTTAGATAGCGCATTGAAAGCTCCTACTTAAAATGGGCCGTGGATCGAAAAACCTTGGAAAGGAAATTTTGGCAAGATTAGTGAAATGGATTTGGGACGTGGTGTTGGAATTAAAAAGAAACAGAATTGAGATTTGAATAGTACACATTTACTATTTTATTTTACTAATTTAACCGCTAGGAGCATGTTTAGGCCGTCAACACATGGGTAGGCAAATGATTAGGTATTACTTATTTCTTTTTGAGGTGAGAGGTCGCCCCATTAGTTAATTGATTTATCCGGGGAATGCCCTGCAAGGTTTGTATATATTTTTATCCGAGGTATGCCCCGAAATATTTGTATTCGGAGGCCGAAAGTAGAACTCTTAGTATTTTTATTTTTATTTTCATTTTTTATTTTTATTTTATTAGGCAGGGACAACCTCGAACCTCTTGTGTGTTTATTTTTCTTTTCTGTGTTTATTTTTACCTTAATTTGAATATTTTAAAAGCCAACTATATCGAGTATACAACCGTACTAGTTACGGGACTCGGGGAATGCCTAACACCTTCTCCCCGAGTCAAATGAACCCCCTTATCTAGATTCTTTGGTGCAAACTAGTTTAAGAGTCAAATGTGTTTTGAAGGAAAATTGTTATTTTGAAAACGGTGACCTGACACACTGAAATCAAATGTCAGGTGGCGATTCCGAAAAATCCTTCGAATCACCATCTTTTGTCACTTTCTAAATGAAAAATCTTTCGAGCGTCGAAAATCTTTTATTTTTTTTAAAAAGGGTTAATGAGGTTAAAAAAAGGGGTGTGACATAGACGGGGTCCGGAGTCGCCCGAGTGAGTTTCGGACGAGGTTCAGATCATTTTCATTTCATGTTGCATTGCTGAAGGTATGCTGGTTCTTGTGCTTCCGCATCTGCAGAGGAATGGATGCAGATGGGAGTCCGTAGATGCAGACAGTTGGTCACAGGAGCGCAAACAAGCTTGGCTGACGATGATCGTAAATGCAGAGGAAGAGGCGCACCTGCGTGTGCGCAGAAGCGAATCATTGGGCGGAAGAGCGGGGTCTTGCGCAGGAGTGAAGAGGAGCTCGCACCTGCGATGTCGCAGAAGTGGAAATTGTTCCGCAAGTGTAAGGGGTTGGTTGGTTAGTCGTGGTCGCAGAAGCGTGATTTTGGTCGCAAAAGCGACGCTGCAGAAGAGGCTAATGTGCCGCAGGCGCGAAAATACTTGGCAGAAGCTATAAATCGAGGGTTTTGGTTCTTTCTTCATATTTTGAGATGTGGGACTAGGATTGAGGCGACTTTTGAAGCAATTTTCATTACAGGGATCTGGGTAAGTGTTCTCTACTTGGTTTTGACTATTTTTCGTGAATCTATCTTCATTTTTCGCAATTGGTTGATGAATTTTAAAGAGGAAATTAGGATTTTAACCTAAAGTTTCATAATGTGAATTTTTAAGTTTTGCACATCGATTTGGAGTCGTATTTGAGTGAAACTAGTATGGTTGGACTCGTAATTGAATGAGTTCTCCGATTTTGTAAATTTTTTCAGGTTCCGAGGTATGCGCCCGAATGTGACTTTCGGCTGGTTTTGGGTTTTGATTAAGGATTCGAACTTTTTTATTTGGAATTGTTTCCTTGGGATTTATTTGATGTATTTAAGTTGTTTTTGGCTAGTTTCGAGTCGTTCGGAGGTCGGTACCCGCGAGATGGTATTTTTGGAGCATCGGTTGGCTAGTTTCGAGTGTTGGATCTGGCTTGTTTGAGGTAAGTAACACTTCTAAACTTGGTATTGAATGTATGAAACCCCGAATTACGTGTTATGTATTTGGTGTTGAGGTGACACACATGCTAGGTGACGGGTGCGTGGGTGTGCACCGTATGAATCATGACTCAGTATTCTATAGTACTGTGTAGTTACCTGATCTTACTTGTAACCATGAAATCTCTACGTACTAAATCTATTGAGTTGTGATCCATGTTAGAAAACATGTCAAGACTACATGCTTATTCTGTTGGGACCCACCAAGATCATATTTTTGTTGAATTATTTGTTTAAATTGTAATTTCATACTCGGTCATGTTCATTCATTTCATATCATATCTCAGTCTCTGTTGTTATTTATTGATACATCATATCATCATTTTGGGCTAATTTCATGGCATTGTGAGCCCGAGAGACTTGGGAGATTGATGACTGAGTGAGGCCGAGGGCCTGAGCTGTGAGTGATATATGTATAAATATGGATCGAGTTGCACGCCGCAACGAGCCTTATGGCTATATATATTTATGGGATCGGGTTGCAAGCCACAGCATGTTTCATTAACATACCATGATTGGCTTGATCGCTTGGGTTGAAGGAGCCTCTCCGGAGTTTGCACACACCCCTAGTGAACCCGGTTAATTTATATTGAGGGATGGATATTCCCGGGCAACATTGGCCTTGTACAGTACTGAGTGACTGACTATCAGTTGTTGTATATATATTCGGAATAGATCTTCCCTGGGTCGGATTGGCCATCATTACTAAGTGACTGAGCATGTCGAGTGGTTGAGCATGATGAATGTAAAGTGTGAAACAATGAGATTGAGTACTCTGAGAGTGTGAGTACATAAGTTCATCTCTGAGATACATTGCATTGACATGTACATGTTATACGATATCACGTCATTCATATCTTCTCACACACATTGACCTATAGATATAGAGATGTATTTTCCTCATGCCATTTGAAAATGAAAATATTTTCCTGTGGAAAGCTTTTTGAGAAAAATTACGGTTTTCAAACTTACTCATATTTTTCGGCGATTTCGGTAAAAGATTTGGGTTTGTCACTGATATACTTTCTGGAACTGTGAAAGAGCTGAACATTTTATCCCTGAGTTACTTCTTTCATTACTTTCATTATGTTGTTATGAACTGTTGTTGGCTATTGGTGTTGGACTCCGACCCTTGTCCCGGTTCGTCACTACTTTCAACCTAAGGTTAGGTTTGTTATTTATTGAGTACATGAGGTCGGTTGTACTCATACTACACTTCTGTATCTTGCGTGCAGATGTTGGATGATGATGTTGTTGTGATCGACGGGAGCTGAAAATTGAAGACGTACTTGCATTCCGGATGTAGCTACCTCTTTTTCATGATAGCATTAGATGTATAAAAATTTGTTTATGTACATTTCGAACAATTGATGTATTTATTTTATACTAACTTTGTAAACTCTAATCTTAGAAGCTCATGATTTGTACTACTAGTCCTTGGGGAATGTATCAGTTTTAGATATTTTCTTGTATTTAATTGTCTTATAAATTTTATTGGAATTAATTAGTTGTTAATCGGCTTACCTAGTGGGTTGGGTGATGTGCCATCACAGACTAATTGGATTTTTGGGTCGTGACAATTTGTAAGTCAATGAACAACATGACTAACCCCTCTCAAAGAGACGTCTCATTTTATCATCTATGCGCGTGCTACTTATACTTTCTTTATTACTCAGGAATAAACTACTTAATTACATTATTAAATCTTGCATTTACTTGTAGACTATAACTAGTCTAATTTCTATCTTATTTTTTGTAAGATTTTACCAAAAAATTTCATTCAGTGTTGCATTATTTTTGTTAACTAATTCCTTTGGAGTTAAATCACTTAATTAATAAAGTGACACCAAGTGCAAATAGAATTTTACCCTGCTTGAAGTACAGATGGTCATTGTTACAAACAAAGCTAAGACCACATACCATTGATTCGATTTTGACACTTGGCAAATTTAGGCTTAAACCAAAAGCTATATAAAGTGTAAAATTTGGGTTATGTACAATTCTCATACCCTTGAAGTGGTAATACAAAGTCTTCTAACAGTAGTTATTATTCTGAGTCAAAGTATTTGGTTTCTAGAAACTCTTTTTGCCTAACAAGTGAAAAGGAATGAAAGAGAATCATAGATCTCATTTACAATTTGTTTGATTAAAAGTTTTCAGAAAAAGGATGGTAGTTTTATATCACAAACTACTTTCCACTAGTGAAAAGTTTATGAACTGTTTTCTGGAACAAGTTCTATAAATTAACTTATGTAACAAATGTGGTCCAGCGCATTTAATGGATCGAAATATTTTTTTATTAATATCAGTCTTTGATATTGCATTTAAAACATTTAATTAACATAGCTTCGCCATTTGTTGCTACAATGCCAAGACCGACAAAATAATGTGAAAATAACATGGGACTAGTCAGTGTTTGCAAAATTATTTAAAAATAGCCTCTGTTTTGTTGAAATACGGAATTTCCAGCATAATATGCGGGATTATGGAGCTCCTGCATATAAACTTCCAGCATATTATGTTGGAACTCCAGCACACAAAAAGTTTTAGTATAATACGCGGGATTATGAAGCTCTTGCATATAAACTTCTCGTATATTATGTGGGAACTCCAGCACATAATGCTAGAAGCTCATATGTAAAAAATTCGAACTCCAGCATATTATGCTGGAATATGGTTTAAGGATGTTTTTATTCAGATTTTATCTTTACATGAAAAAGTGGCTAAATTTCAATTACTTTTGAAATTGTGGCTACTTTTCAATTACCAGTTGTAAATCTAGCTATTTTTTATTTTTTCCCGAAAATAATATGACAAGTACACATTTAGTGAATTAGTCGAAAATAATTATACGCGCTAGCTAAATATAATAAAAATATGTATAAATGATGTATATTATACATTAATTAGTATACAAAAAACTGTATAAAATATGTGTATTATACATTAGTTAATATACAAAAAAAAATTATTAAATATGTATATTATACATTAATTAATATATAAAATATACACTATATTTTACCGGCTATTATATTTTGGAGCGATTAGTAACTTTTTCAAAATATAAAAAAGCGCGCGGAAACATGGTTTCTGATGCCTTAGAACTTCACTTGTGTAGCACTAACACTGTATTCTGGGTCGGGCCCGGGCCTTCATGGGCCAAACGGGCCGGTCTTCGTGGGCCTGGGCTCTGGCGGTCCCGGGCCTGGCTGTCTCGGGCTTCGTGGGCTCACCTGGTGGAACCGGCCCGTGACGGGCCTAA